TACATCCACAACAAGTGTATGGAAGGAGCCAGATTAGCACTTCCTGTATGCATGGGTTCATGATGCCATTGATTACATCAACCAAATGAGCATTTTTTTTATTTTTGTTTTGTACAGTATTGCCCATTTTGAGTTGATGAATTTATAAATGTGGTTAACAAATCTCATTCCAATTTCTTTGTTGGGTTTATCCTATTTTCTATTCAATAAGACCTGCATCCTGCTAGATGTCTCACACCTGACAGACTACAGTGGTAAAAAGGGTCAAAGGTCACATGGAGCTGGAATCCTGATAGTCATAGATAAGAAAGGGAAGAATGAAGACGCTCCACATGCAGCTACTCATGAGCACATCACTATAAATTAATGATTATTACTTTAAACAATGTTTTATATCATCTGTATGCCTGAAATTACAGCTGTGTGTTGTAGAAAGGATTTGTTGCACACTTGAAATTAGCTTACTAACGAGTTCAGATTAAATTTAGAAGTCATAACATGTAATTGGTTAATATGGTATGAAATGGAAAAAGAAACTACAGTTATTTTCTCTACTGTTTCTGATTTATTCTAGCTCATTTAAAACTGTAGAAGTTTTGTGATCTGCAGCTGATCAGTATTAGTAAGAAACATATTGAGTGTCTACTTAATCTCAAATTCAGTCAGTCCCAGCATATTTTATGATCGCAGGGTCCATGTGTCCAGTCAGAGCTAAATATATTTTTTTTTTGGTTGTTCTTTTGTTCATTTACTGATTTATGCTTTTCCTCAATACAATCTGGGTACTCTGGCCTGGAGGCTTTTGAAATTTTCCTCCTTTTAATCAAGTTTTTGCTTTTTTTTTTTTTTTTTTCTCCAGTTATTTGAACATGAGGTTGTCACAGCTGTTCAAATTGACTCACGAGGTGAAGGTTTGAGGTGCATGAGGCGGGAGCCAATGCCGAACGGTCTGCTTGATTGAATCGGAGGAGACTCAGTGGGTGGTGCTCAGCAGTTGAGTTGCTATATGCTATGGGCTCCTGCTGAGGCACTTTCCAGAAATAACCATAAAGCAGCAGCAGCAGCAGCAGCAGAGGTTTGGTGATTGTAGATCTCAGACTGAGGCTGGTGTTTGAATTTATATGGATAAGGTGACAGGTTCGAAGTGTTGGGCGTTTTGTTTTTACAGGAAGCGGATTTTTTTTAATTCAGCCAAATTTACTTAAGTAACTTTGGACCCCATAAAGCACTATAAGAGCTGAAACACCTCTTGTTTAAGGGTAGCAGTACAAAGGAAGGGATTTGCTGACGGAAAGAGGTAGAAAACGAGCGTACACCACAGAAAGAAGTTGCACTGTAGTGTTTTGAAATGCCTTGGTCTCTACATCCGAATGCAACACATTTGGATTATGGTGATTGGAGGTCAAAACTGATGAACTCCAGTGGACACATTGTTTAAACAATTGGACATTTGGGGTCTATACCTGGAGAAAGACCTAAGGAAACTGAAACAGTCCAAAAGTAATCGTAAATATAATTAAAATGTTAGTTATTTTGCAAGTCTGTCTTGGTCATTACAGCTAATTTATGCATTTCATGAGTAGAGATAAGTAAATGCAGCTTTCAAGATCTGATGATGATGGTATCAGAGTTGTGACTGTATAGTACTTAAGTGGAGCTAATGCCACAAAAAAACAAACAAAAAAAAAAACATTTTAAAAAACACTTAGTATTTTAGATGGTGACCCAAAGATGATCAAATGCTATATGAAATAGACCTTTAGCTTAGCATTGATAAAAACCTTCAAAACCAGTTCTAACTTTTGCGTTGGCAGCATTTGGCTCGTCATTTTCTGACAGTTTTTCTGAATCATTCACATCACGTGTCATTTCTTTTTCCTACCAGCTTCAGAAAACGGAGGACAATTTAAAACGCGGTGAAGGCTTCTTCAAAGAAACTAAGTCTTGTCAAAAAAAAATTTCCTGAGTCGACCCTCTCAACACAACAGGACAGCTCATAAATGTCTTCCTTTCTTACTTTAAAATAAGTCTTCACCCGTCAGACTGGACGGATACTTTCATACCTTGGTTCCCATGATATGAACTTCAACACAAACGCATCTTGTGCTTTGAGATCTCATTACACTCTTATGTGCGAGTTGTAAAAGGCCTTTTTTCATGTTTTAGTGAGAAATAATCCATTCTGTCTGATTTTGCAATGAAGTCTTCATTGCAAAGATTTCATAAAAGTGGCGCTTTGCAAAACACGGTGCTTGGAAAGCTCTTTCAAAATAAACACCCATCGGTTCAGTGACAAGTGGAACCCGGTCGCAGCGTCAACATTACATACAACCTCGAACGGTGGATTTTGTAGTCGCTCATTTGTTTACTTCTCTTCTGACGATTGGAGTCCTGCTGCAACACAGGGGTCACCGATCCCCTTGTGGAAACTGTTTGATCCTCTTTCGACGCAGCGGCCAAAACAGGGAAAAAAAGGGAGAGAGGGAGAGAGAGAGAGAGAGAGAAAGCTGGATCTCAAATACACAATGGAAGCCTTTTAAGTATGACGCAGCTGCTACACGTGTGCGTGTTGTGCAGTCCTCAGTCGGTTGTGCCTTCGCTCCCTCATTGTTTCTAAGCTGCATCCGAAATTAGGTAGAGCAATTTCTGAGCCCATTTATTTTCTAATGAGGGGGTCATTTAGTTTTTCGGTAAATTGCTGGGCTGCAACCTCCTTGCAATAATTAATAATAATAATGTGAGAAAGGCAGTAGCCGTGCAACACGAGAGGAAGTGAAGGTGGAAACAAGAAAGGCTTCTGTTGCTCCGTTTCTGTGACGATGTGGCTGACGTGGCTTTTAATGCTCTGCAGCTGCAGTCGTGTCCTGCACTCAGGTTACTGTGTAAATATGCAATGTGCTATAATAATATGTATAAGTAAAGCAGGGTTTTCACTAAATATGAGTAAATATTCTGCATATAAAATGATTGTTTTTAGTCATAAAAAGCAACAAAAATGAGAGCATTACATAAAGGAATGAACTCTGGTACACTGGTGATAATATTAGTTTGTGTATCAGTCAAAAAAAAAGAAAAGAAAAAAAGAAAATTATCTTTGGTAGGGAAGCACTATGTATGGATGTCTTATGCATTTCTGGTTGATAAACTAAAAATGTTATGATGATGATTTTACCAATACTGAAGTCCAATAACAGAGATCCTGGCAGTAAAGGTCAAAGATGCATCTTGAAATCTGAGTGTGTGTGTGTGTGTGTGTGTGTCATAATGCCTTAGTGCTGGCTTTAGCTCCTCCCACACACAAGCACAGAGCAGCCGGTCGAGATATGGACAAGCAAGTGCAACGAAATCTGAAAATAACACAGACAGTACAAGCAATTTGTCAAACACCTGCTGAGCAAGTAGAATACTAACAGGGGAAAAAATACAGTGACACCCCTGTATAATGCTGCATGATGGATGTACTGATGATGCTGGAGTCCAAGAATTAAGAGACGAACAGGGGTTTGGGGACGACCGAGATTCTTTGCTACAAAAACCTTGCATTTCCAGGTCGAAGGATTTTCATCAGTTCTTTCTTTGCCTTGAATGCTGAATTGTGCCGCACACAGAAATATGCCAAGGATGCAGCCGTCACTCTTAACAGCGATATTGTGCAATACGAACCCAAAGAGGCAGTTTCTACCTGGGAAAATTGTATATTTAGCTGTTTCAGACAACTAAATAGGTTTGGATCCGTCTATGCCTTCTTGCCATGTTGAAGTTATTAAAATAGCAAAAAGAAAAATCAAGCTAGGCCAAATAAAGGTTGAATATTTATCCAGATCATTACAGAAAAATCTACATTTTCTACATCTATCTACATTGTTTTGTCTTTTATGCAACAGTGCAACTGCACAAAATGGTGAAATGGGAGAAAGACAGTTCAGATATTTTCACGTTAAAAATCCAAAAAGCTTAGCTTGGATCTGTATTCAGGCCTTATGAGTCAATTCATGGAGACAAATACAATCTAAAGATGGAGCAGGAAGTGCATTAATCCCTGCCTATCATGCTTTTTAAAATGTGACAAGCTCCACGCCATTTAGGTCCAATTATGGTCAAAATCTGAGATTTGTGATTATGGCTAACCAAGAATGGGACTACTTGTAGCTCTCTTTCAACAGTGACTTACTCCCATAGTCTTTACATTTTTTTATGGCTGACAAAAATACTTCTTAACATGTTCAAAGCTTTACAAATGATTTAAATGTCTTCCTGCTCTGCTCTGCTGTGTTCCTTGGTCTTTGTGATGATGTTTCTTCTCTACGGTTCTGAGGCTTTCGCAGGACAGCTGGATTTATACTGAAGTTAAATTACATTCAGCAAGGGAATTAGTTGCATTTGATTTTGTATTCAGATTCAGAGTAAAAATTTTTGGAAAAAAATAAGAAAATACTTATTATAAAAGGATGAAATGTGAAAAAGTTTTGCAAAGCGATGCACGAGTTGTTTTTACAAAATGCACCAGCAGAAATCCCTGTATTTTGTGTGTGTGTGTGTGTGTGTGTGTGTGTGTGTGTGTGTGTGTTTTCAAACTAAATACTTTCAAATGACTCGACTATTGCAGAACAACGAGGACAATCAGCTCATTACAGGCAGACATTATTTACACATTTATCTTTACTGCGGGGTTTGTAAAATAAGATGCAACTTGTTAGAACGCAATTAGAGGAGATTGTTGTTCTCCATCTCACATGGCTCCTTTAGACATTAAGAAAATGATTTCCTTAGCGCCACTGTACAGCGAAAACGCATCATATGGGCCTAAATCACCTTTTAGGATAATCTGCAATAAAGGAAAGTATATATTTACATAAATTCAAGGGTAGAAATGTGGCGCCACAGCATAAATTGTACCTGTGCATGTGTTTAGTTAAGTACGGTTATATTATACGCTTAAATCTCTGCAGCCATTTGTCAGTTTTCAATTTGTTCCTCATCTTCTTCTCTTTCCCGTAAAGGAGCGTCTTTTCTGAACCAACATGGCTGCCCTGCAGTGGAAGGCTAAATCGCCACAGCAGAACTTGTGGATCTTCCTCCTTTTCCTAAGCCTTCTTCCTGAAGCCAGGTACAAAAGTATTCCTTAAAGCTCTATTTTTGTTTGTTTGTTTTACTGTCATCCTTTCTTTAAACACAACCGTTCGATCAGACGCAGCATCTGCTGCTCCAGTGTTTCGTAGAACAATTAGCAGCCAGGCTTACCGCTGCAGCGTAAGTGATGATTTAACAAACACCACTGGGAGTAAATGCTCTCAGCTGTCACCGTCATTTACTCAAATGAAATAAACAGTTCAAGTCTAGAGTGGGGGCTAAATAAAACCATTCAGCAATTTAAAGGAGCGTTTTTATTTTCTTCTTTACTCCAGTACTTTTTTATATTGTATTTATGGCCTCGAGAGAAAGAGAGAGAGAGAGAGAGAAAAATGAGCACTTCAGGTTCTTTAGGTTAAAATGCAAATCGTTCCACTTTGACCTCGAAAGCAAATTAAACTTCAGTTCGTGCAAAGTTTGTGCTCTCCTCTCCGCCAAATAATTTGCATTGTGGTGCAGCTCCTGCGTCTTGTGCACGTTTTACGGCCTGAATCCGAGTCAGCAGAAAGAAACAGACGAAACACGCTGCGCGCGGAGGAGTCGTGTTAGCTCTGCCGATAAGGGGCTCAGGTTATTTATTGGAAATGCACGTAATGCATGTAAATATTTGGTCAGCTGATACTAAAAATAATATTTGCCCCATGTATTTTTCTACAGCATGCATGCACATCTTAAATAGCCTCAAAATATTACAGACACAAGCCCAAATATGAAGAAAATGAATCTGTTTATGTAAAATAAATTAAAAGAATCTGGCATTAAAGATATGTACTTATTTCAGTTTGTCTATGTAGCAACCTCTTTTTCTTTTTTTTAAAATTAGAAACAAAAGAGAAGAGCTGGGCAGAATAAAGTTGTGCAGAGACCCGCTTAGGGACGCCTGTCATCTGCCTCATGAGGTCAGGCTAGAGGAAAAGCTAGACGGAGACATCAACACTGTGCCATTGATCTGAATAAATTCAACGTGTTTTTATCTCTCTATTGGGGTTGGTACATTCGTTTGTATCACTGCAGCTAAGACTCACTTCCCATATGTCCCACCGACGCTGAAAAAATGACCAATCTGTTTCACCGCACTACTTAAATTGCAACTAAAGTAGTGTGACTTAATACTTTATGCTCCTCTTTCAAAATAGATTTTAGTCGTAATGTATTACCATTAGTATACAAAGTAGGTGGTTCTGATTGTAAAAACTTTAACTCAACCTCAAAGCAGTTATTTCATTCTTCGAACGGTTGACTACGAACTAAAATCAAATATAGACACTACTATAACGACTATGACAAATGTTTTATTATTACAGCAGTAACTGGAATGAGATTTGTTTTCCTGATCCAATTAAAAGTCACTACCATCACATATTATGTACAAATTGTATTTGTTCAAACAATCAACTTATATCTCGACAGTTTGAATGTGGAACTTAAATCCTGACTCAAGAAAATAAGGTTAAGCGTGATTGACGCCACGTGGAAGGGTCATATGTCGACATCGCCGTCTCCAGCAGTTAAGAGGAAATTGCTCCCACAGACAGTAGCTTCTGCCTGCTCTCTGAAAATGTCAGAAAAAGTGCCATAAGGTGCTTACAGTTACCGAGTTGCGCTGCCAGAGACGAGAGGTTTGCTGGGGTGAGGCTGCACACAGCAGCTTTGCACTTTGAAGGCTCTGGAAGAGAGCGCCTCTAGACCACCGTCGCCTTCTTTGCAGAGATCACAGCTTTCAGAGGAGAAGTTGGCAAAATGCAACACAGGAGACACTGCGGGCATTTAGCTGCAACACGTGGAGTCCAATGGAAAAATGAAGCGGAACGCAGCAGGCTTGTTTGTGAGCTTGCCATAGTTATAAAAAAAAAAAGTACTGTTTGTGATCTTTGTTGGGTTTTCTCGTTTGGCGAAATTCGTATTCTTGTGTTGTTGTGTTTAGAGGTTTCACTGTAATTTATTTAAGGGCATTACACCATGAGAATCTCTCCGTGCCCTAAGCCTAGATCCTATTTTCCAAAAATGTCAACAGATGCAAATACGGCTGCTACGATGAGACAGAACCTGCAGCCGACGAAATCCTGGTCCTTTATTAGCATTTTATTTCTCACTATTGTACTTATTATGCAGGGCACACATTCAAAGTCAGCAATCATCACTTGAAACATTTTGTTCAAGTAAAACTGTACTAAATGATTATTTAAACTCTCATGCAAAAAAATTGCATGTGCCCAGAGCCAGCATTAAAATGGGATTTGGTAAAGTATTTCTTCCATATTCATCAAAGTTTAGGAGTAATCCTCAGTGTGCACACACTCACAGAATATCTGCATATCAGCAAAGCAGTCTCTCCCTGAGAGCTGCCATCTCCCTCATGCTCGCTGATGTTATCTGCAGACTTGAAATCGGCTTTGCTACAGTTGCTGCAGAAGAGTTTCTTAACGGATTAAGGTGTAACAGACAAATCCTCTATTTAAAAAGACCGTCAGTCTGCCAATCCTACATTTCTGCATTTCTCCTACATGGGTAGATCGGGAATAATTAGGCATTAATCGCTGCGGTTCGTGTGTAGAGCATGCAGGAGAACGCTGCCCCATCAATCTAACTCCACCCCAACCGTTTCCTCTCGTAGGACCGACCCTTAAAATGTGCGGACAGTCAGTCTGTCTTGTTGTCTATTTTGTTTGTAATCTATTGCCAGGCTTCTGGCTAACGTGGCACATAATCAATAGCTATATGCATAAAAGAGCTGTATGTACACTTCGCCCCCGATGATTGGCTCCGAACTCGCCTGGTCTCCATTGGCTTTCTCCACCCGTCTCACATAAATTATTCACGGCGAGGCGGGGGGGGGGCATCGCTTTGAGATGCGACCCGGTCAACAGATAACATTTTGTTTCGGCGGGTGTTGTCAAGGTTAATGTGTCACAGGACCAGACAAGGGTAATGCATTCACAGCTGAGCCGCTCCGCCGAGCGAACGAGCAGGAAAGCGAAAACGAAGGAAGACCGGGTCAAATCACAGCACACCGGTCAAGTTGATCCGCTGCTGGTAGCCTTTTGCATTCGATTACATTTTGTTGTTATTGGTTGGACCCTTAAGGTGACGTTTGTGATATTTCATTGAACACGCGGAGGTCGCAGGGGAGGATTAGCCTGTGCTCCATTCATCTCTACAACTGCGAGAGAGGTCAAGTGTGCGTTATATATATTGGAAGGATTTGGGAACTGCATTAATGCGGGTCGTTTGGTCAAAGAGGAACACTGGCTCTCTGCGGTGTACATGCTTGAAATAAATGATCAGAAACATCTATTCAGCTTTTTTCTGGTTGCATTTAACAGGGGTGAGTTTTTAAGTAGAAATCTAAACACAACCATTCGTTTAAAAAGGACTTTTGTAGTTTTAGATTTGCACCTATTGCATCGTTTTTGTTTTCGCCAATATTTTTCTTGCAAATCGCCTTCCATTTAAAGAGTCACGGTCATAGTTGCTGCTGATTTGTTTGCTCTACATCCACAATGCAAATCTCTGTTACACCAGATCCTAAAAGTCCTTTACTGGGCTGAAGCCCGGTAACTGTGGATGTCAATGGAGTACAGGTGACCTCATTGTCACCTTCAAGAAAACAATTTGAGATGATTTCAGCTTTGCAGCATCATCCTGCAGGAAGTAGCCATCAGAAGATGAGATTATGACATTGTGGTCATAAAGAGATGGGCATGGGTCAGTAATAGGCTAGATTGGCACTAAGGAGCCCAAAGTGAAAATATCCATTACAAGGCCAGTTTGAAAAGTTAATACAAGACAAGATGGACTTATGCTTTCATGCTGTTTACGACCAGTTCGGACATCCTGCAGCTGATTCTTTGGACAGGGTAACGGTTTTCCAATATCGTGTCGTCCATAGTTGTGTAGCCTACGCCACCTGTAGCCTGACGAGATGAGACCTTCTCCTGCTCTAGCTCTGCTTTCACATCATAGTTACCATACCTCTCATATTTGGGTAACATTGTCCTTTCACGTCATACGAGGCCATCTCCTTTCAGATCATGTAGCTGGAATGACAGAACTGAACCCGGAGCCGTCATCCACGCAGGTGATTTCCTGAGGTCGAGGCTCCGTCACAGTCCTTACCCACGTTACCTAGCGGCGTTTACTAAATACAAAAGAAAATCGTTGAACACCAGCCTTCCCAAGTTATCATCTTCATTAGATTCTGCTGTTCAAGGTATCTCACCCTGGAAGATCAAGCGACATCTCCTTTCTGTGCACAATCGCAGACTGCACTTTTCCCACAATGCAGTGCTGGCCAGATTTTCTAATCATTTTCCAAGGTGGATCAGGCACGTCACAGTCGCACAGTCGTTTAAATTCCCTTTATTGACTATTCTGATGCTCCGTTTGACTTTGGAGATTTCTAGATGTTACCGACATTTGATTGGTTGAGTCACTGTTTGGGTTAGCAAGCAATTGTGCCTAACAAAGTGGCAGGTAAGTGTTTGTTCTCATTTTGGACAGCTGACCACGCTGGGACGCCTTCCAGTTTCACTCATCTAAATTCTAATTACTTCAGACTTCCAGTCAATTTTCTATTGATAACAGCGAGGATCTGATCAATGATGCTCCAAGTCGCCAATTATCAGTCAACCCCAGCAGGTGTGCATCAAAACAGAGCAGGAAGGGGATTTCTCAGCCGCAGTCTGAGCAGCTTCTCCGTGGACGCGGAGCAAAAGCCGGCGCCGAGCATTTATGAAATCCTACGCTCGACAGTTGGGCAATAAAGCCTCTGCTGCAAATTCTGTTTTTTTGTTGATCTAACATAAGGTATGCAGGATCTGTGCGGGCTCTGAGTCACCTCCCATGAAAACGCAACATATGAGACAACCACTGCAATCCATCTGCATCCGTCCCCCAGCAGCAACATCCACCCCCAAATCCCTCTGAACTACAGTCAGATGTGGCGAAGCTTAAGACAAGAAAGCTATTCAGTGCAGA